TTCGTGTCCGGGTATCTGGGTCCCTGTGTTCCAACGCTCGTGTGCGCACCCACGAGTGGAGTCGCTGGGCCACGCGGTACCACTGTGCTGATGGTGCGGAGCCGCTACCAGGCTGGTGCCCACGGCGCCGGCATCTTAGAGCCCCAGCAGCAGCTCGACGGCCTCAGTTTCTCCAAGGCCCCACGAGCACTTGTTAGTATCTGGTTTGTCTCGTTTTGTCGCCATCCATGGGTGGAAGGTGGCAACTTATGTGGTTCTGACTAGATTTCCCCGGAGACCAGTGATGCGTCTCTTCCTGTGCTTGTTGGCCAGATCACCCCGTCACAGATGAGGGAGACGGCGTGCAGAGAGAGGCACTGAGTCACCTCTTGGCCCACAGCTGATGGCCACAGACGTGGGGGGGCAGAATGATGGCTGCCCTCAGGTTTGGGGATAGGACGGCCCTCAAGGATGGGGGACCCCTCCGGATAGGGGACCCTTCAGCTTTGGGGGAACCTTCTGGGATGGGAGATCCCTCAGGGACAGGAGACCCCTCAGGGATGGGGACCCCTCTGGACAGGGGACCTCTCAGGTTTGGGGGAACCTTCAGGGATGGGGACCCCTCAGCGACAGGGGACCGCTTCTGGGTTGGGGTCTTCCCAGACCAATCACCTTGAGCACATGACCTCCCCCAGCAGGTCCCCACGCCGCCTCCTGCCTGCCCACCCGAGGGGCAGACACTGGCTGGAAGGGGGCAGGTGGACTTGAGCCACTCCTGCCGCCCCGTCTGGGTCCCCCACCCCAGCACCTGGCTCAGAGGACACCTAGACATGGGTGCCCCGTTCAGAAGTGGGAAGGATGCCAGAGCCCCCAGAACCTGTGCACACAAGCCCTGCATCCCTCACAGTGACTGAGACCTACAAGTTCGGGAAGAAGGCACATGGGCACAGAGAGTCGGGGCGTGGTGCCGTTCGGGGGCTGTTTCCTCTGCATCAGTGGGATTAGCCCTCAAAACCAGAGGGAGGTGGTTTCGTCGCATCCCCAGCTTTGCCCAGTCCTTCATCGGAGCCTGTGACCCTCACAGTGACCCTGGAAGGGAGGCTGTGATGCTGCTCTGTGCAGGCTCAGAGAGGTTGCGCCACCGCCCAAGGTCACACAGCTTCGCTCCTGCACCTAGCCAAGCCCCAGCTCCGCACCCAGACGTCAGCCCACAGCCTGGCCACCCCACGCGTCACATCCCACAACGTGGCCGAGGCGCACCCGGACGGTCTCTCGGGAACACGTGGAGTTGAGGGCTTGAGGGCTGTGCCCCCACACCTGGGGATGACCCCCACGCCCACATCCACATGCGCTCACGCACACGTGCACACACCTGTCCCACGCGTGCACCCCTGACTCTGGGGTCTACAGAACCTGTCGCTTCCTCTCAGGTTTGGCCACGGACCCCATCCACGCGACGCCCCCCACGACAGCGGCTCCTTAGTCTCCCATCGGGTTCGGCCAAGGGGGGCTCCGCTGGTCAGGAGGGAATCTTTTTATGATAAAAAATGAGCCTTGTTGCATCAGCTCCGGTGAGGGGGGGGAGCCGCCCCCGCAGGTCGCCCGGGCAGACTGATGAAAATCCTGCTTTATGAAGCCGTGGCTCCCCCATTAATTAGGGGGAGGGGGCCCTCTGCACTGCTGCGCACCTCGCCCACGGCGGCCAAAAGCTTGTCAACATTTTCCACGAAGAATGAAAATGTAAATAACTTTCAGATTATTCAATGTCACCAAGGTATGGAAAAAGGTCGCAATGCTGGGTGTCATTTATCTCGTTGTGGATTTAAAGAGCTTTTTTCTATTAAATTTCTTAAAATTAATGTTTTATGTTGCTCAGAGTAATTTGAACAATTATGGGCTTAAAGAATTGATCATTACAGCCCCTGGGATTTTAGCGCTCCAGACTGATTCCTTTGAAAACCCACTGATTTATCGTCTTGCTACTCAACCAGGCAAGCCCCCAGGGTTTGGACCCCCTCCTGTCCACATCTGGGGGGGGCCAGTCCCCCAAGACAAGCCAGCTTGTGGGGAGGTGAGGAGGGAGATGAGCAAGAGGGGGAGCAGGTGTGTCCTCCTCTCAGGGAGAGACTTGTCCTTGATTTGGGACCCTCCTTTGAACTTTTGCCTCTTGTGTGAATTTGATATTTAAAAGGAGAGAAGACCCTCTACGTATTGGTCAATATTATTATTTATATTATTCATCATTTACATTTGATAATGTAATACATCGCTGGGTTCAAAGGTTAACAAGTCCTACCCCCCCGCTGAAAAAGGTGAGCAAGTTCAAGTGGGTCCCGAATCCTCGGCAGGGTGTCCCCACCTGGGTGCCTCCCGGCCTGGCGGCACCCTTGATGCCAACTGGCAATGCCGGTCAGGGTCCTGAGCCGCGCCTCCGGCCCTCCGCTCCCCTCCCTGCTGCTGTGCCAGTCCCGGCGAGGGCCCCGGGGTCCCCTCCTGGGGGGACAGGGACACCCACATGTACCCGACGAGCGGGCTTCGTTGTGGCCTCGGGATGTGGAGCTGCGTTTCTGCCCGGGTGCTGCTCCATCCAGATGGGGACACCGAACCAGAGAGGGTACGTGAGCGAGCACTATAGGGAAACTGTGGGTCTGATGGCCAAACGCATCTGCCAGGTGCCTGGGCACATCTCGTGTGTCCCCTCCAGCTCACCGGCCAGGGTCTCGTGCTTCCCACGCGCGGGCTGGGCCGGACCCCGAGGCTCTCAGAGGCTGCCCAACCCCGGCCCGCCACCCCCACTTGGCTCTGGGATTATCGACGTGCCGCCAGCTGGAGCGAGCTCGGCGGGCAACTGCCAACAGGCGGAGGGCCCCGTGGGGACACTTAGCACTTTATTAACCTGTCAGCGCCTAAAAGGTCCCGGGCAGCCTGGGGGAGGGGCTCAAGGCGGGAGCGGGGGTCGACTTGAGGATTTACACCCTCCCCTCCGAGGGCTGCCTGATCACACAGCGTCCACCCCTGCGCCGCCTGGCCCCGGATCGCAAATGGGACGGGGCGGCTTTCCTTTCCAGGGGTTCCCTATCCCCCGGGAAGAAGTGCGAGGTCGACCGCTCCAGGACCTGGCCCCACCAGCCCCCGAGCCATCCCCCTCCCCCACCCCCGCGGGGGCCTGACCTTTGAGCACCATCCCCCATGCCAACCCAGGACCGCTCACACTTCCTGGCGCCACACCTTTGCTCTCAGCGGGCGCTGTCTAATAATGGGCCACCGTCCGGTCCTCCTGCTACAGGGCTGACTACCCTGGTTGCAGCCCAGATGGAAGGGCCTTCTCCCAGCCCCGAATCCTCCCCCGGTGCCTCCCAATTCCCGGTCCCCGGGGCTGCCCTGAGTGCCTCTTCGATGTGGGGGCGTGTGAGCCTGGAGCTGCCGGCGACAATCCTCCCAGCCAGCTCCTAGAGAGCGCCCCTCCTCCCGCCCAGCGTCAGGAGGCTCATCCTCCCACCCGCCTCTCCAGGGAGCACTCACTGCCGGGGGCGAGGTGAGGCCCCAAGCACAGACTCTCTTCTTATATCTCCCCTTGGAGGGGCTGCTACGACTGTCTCCGCTTCTCAGGAGGAAAACAGGGCTCAGAGGGGCAGCTCACTTGCCCAGAGTCACACAGCAAGTTAGCAGTTGGCTAGGATTGGAATCCAAGTGGGCGAGAGCCCTGGGACCATGTGCCATGAATCTCCTGATCGGCTGACTCCAGCCGCCCCCACCCCCGGCCACTCCAGCCCCTGCCTCTCCCAGGGGCCGGCCCTCCCGCCAAGGCTGGGCAGGTGGTTTTCCCACCTCTCCTTCCGGTGCTCAGAAGTTTGGCCAAGATCCAGAGACAGAGGGGCCCGGTTCACAGCAGGTGCCAATCCCTGGCAAGGATGGCCTCCCACTGTCAGGGAACCGCTCTCACCCCCAACACCCCCCTGCGGCCACGCATCCCCAGCTGCACTAAAGACCCGGACCTTCTAGACTGTCACTGACAAATTTATTGAAGTCTTGGAAAGAGCTGATGGTCAGAGAGTAAATAAAAAACACGCAACGTCCACAGAACCGACAGGTAGCTTGGGATGCAGGTTTGCGGGGGTGACTGGGCCTCACCCGCTGCCAGCCTCTGAGTCTGGGTCAGGCGGCAGCACGGCGACCGGTGGAGGAGACGGCCCAATCCTCAGGCAGTTAGAGCCCGCGCCTCCAGGGAGGGCCCCAGACTGTTTGGCAACGGAAATCGGCGGGCTGGGCGTGGCCTGGACACGGAGGGCCTGGGGGCGGCTGTGATGGGGGAGGGGACGGAAACTTGGTGTCGACATGGAGGGAGGTCCCCGCGGCCTTAACGTGTTGCTCCTGGAGAAGGGCACCCAGCGGTGTCTCCTCCGACGGGCAGTAGAGTCCAGAACAGAAAGATCTAGAGCCAGCTCCCCCAGGGAAGACCCGAGGGGAGGCTCCCAGGGGAGGTGAGGGTTGGGATGAGAGGGACACGGGCGTGGTCTCCTGCCTGGACAGAAGAGGCCCATCTCTGACCTAAAGTGGGGCTCCATCAGGTGGATGGAGCTTGGAAAATAAAGGCATGGTTCGTACTATGGTTTTTCATTTTAGAAAGTAAAGCATCCTCCAGCCTGAAGACTGCTGCCCTTGGCTGGAGCGAGGCCGGAGTGAAGGTCCAGCCTGGGTGGGGTGACACTTCGTGTCCAGAAACAGCAAGCGTCCAGTTAACTGGTCGATCAAGAGAGAAATCTGCTTACAAAACAAGGCTTGCTGGGCGGCCCCCAGGCCGGTGGCCCCGTGTCCAAGGAGGAGAGAGGGCACTGACAGGAGCCGCTGGAGTCCCTCTGCCCCCGAGGGAGGGGCGCCGGGTCGGGCGCTCCGTAGGAAGGAGCCCTCCTCTGAGGTCTTCATCCTGTCCCCCGCCGCCGGTGGCACCTGCTTCCTGCAGAGGTCCAGGGCTTCGGGAGAGGAGGGGAGTGCCGCTCCAGGCCACCCAGCCAGGGGCAGCCCTGCTGCCCACACCCTTCATGTCCGCTGCTCGGTGGAGCTGGGGGCCTCGGTCAGAACTGGCCGTGGTCAACCTCGTCCAGCCAGGAGGCGGGGCTGGCAGGGAAGTCGGGGTAGCCCCCACTGCTCCCTGTGGACAGGTCGGAGCTGGGTCCGTTTCCTGCCAGCACCCTCATGGGCGGGGGCCCACCTGGGGCCCCCGCGGGCACCAGGCCCAAGCTGGCATCTGGGTATACTAAGCTGGAGAGAAGGGGCTGGGGGCCAGGGAGGCTCTGCAGGGCAGCTGGTGATGGGGGGACACCGTAGGGGCTGCCGGGGCGCAGCTCACGGTACTGCTCCGGGCCGGCCAGGCCTCCGTGCTCCAGCGGGAAGCTGCCTGGGGCTCCCGTGGGCCTGCCCAAGGCCGGGGTGGGCTCCCCCAGGCTGCTGTAGAGGCCGTTGGCAGGGCCCATTTCGGCCATGGTTGGCTCATCTGCAATGGAAGCAGACAGCGCTGCTCAGTGCCCGCCCCCCTCCACCTCCTGCCCCCAGCGCCCCTCCTTCAGGGGTGACCTGCTCCCGCCGGCCCCCAGATAGGCCAACCCAAGCCTCTCCTGCTCTTAGAACTTACGCAGCCCTCTGCCTCTGTCCTTGTTGGGTTTGTTCAGCTCAGTCCCACCTGGTGTCTACGGAATGGTGGGATCCCCCGGCGGGATCAGGGCCAGCAACAGGCCAGTCAGGGCCCCGGGTTGCAGGATAACCCCCAAGGCTGCCTTGGGAAGGGTGGCCAGCACTCCCATTTTGCAGACAACTTAATTAAGGCTCTGAGCAGCAGAGTGAGTAGCCTAAGGTCACAATGCAGCCAAAGGGTCTCTTGCACAAATTGTCTGAAGATAGGCATTATGGGGTAAGTATGGGATCTCCCTGGTACCGGAGAATGAGATAATCAGATCCCACAGAGCAAGGGTGGGACCCCCGCCCTTCCAAACAGCCAGGACTTTTTATCACTTACCCCAAAACTGTGCTGCCCACTTTCCTAAAAATCATTGCAAGGGCCAGGAGCCACAGAGATGGTCTGGACCCTTTCCCCGCCAGAAAGCCTGCTGAGGGACACGTGGGTCGTGGGGGCTGTCCTCCACCAGGGGAAGAGCTGAGCGCCCCAGGGGCCAAACCGCAGGGCTTGGGGACAGGGGACCAGAATCTATGAACGCTTTGAAAGGAAGGCTAGGGCAGCCCCTGACTGGGAAATTCACATTTGCAGGCTCCCGGACAGCGGGGCGCGCGAGCTGCGCGACTCCCCGGCTGCGCCCTGCCCTCGGGGGCGCGGCCGCCCGCCGTACCCGTGAAGGAGACGTCGGCGTCGCTGTCCTGCCCCTCCTCCTGGACGCTGTCCTTGTCCGACTTGGGGCCGCCGCGGGCGCGCTTCATGCTGCGGAAGTACTGGCCCCAGCGCTGCCGGCCCGCGTCCTTCTTGAGCCGCTTTTCCTTGGCGCGGCGGTTCTGGAACCACACCTGCGGCGGGGCGGAGGGGCGGGTGAGCGGCTGGCCGGCCGGGCGGCGGGGCGCAGGGCCGGGCGCGGGGGCTGACCTGCACGACGCGCATGTCCAGGCCGGTCTCGGACGAGAGCTGCTCGCGCACGTGGCGCGCCGGCTTGGGCGACGTGTTGTAGGCGCTCTTCAGCGTCTCCAGCTGCTTGGCCGTGATGGTCGTGCGCGGCCGCTTGGCCGTGGCCTCGGCCTCTGCGCCGCGAGGGGTGGGGTGAGGCCGGGGCCCTCCGCCACCCGACAGCCCCCCACCCCGCCGGGGCGCGGACACCTCAGTAGGGGTGGAGGGGAGGCTGCGAGGCGGCCCGCTCCCTCCTCCCGCCTCCCCCGGGTTCCCCTTTGTTCTAAGGCTGTGGGTAGGGCCGGATCTTCACGGTCAAGGGTTTGGGGCGATAATTCAATTCAACTCCATACATTTCAGACCAACCTCCCTGCGACCGGAGTGAGGAGGCCGCTAAGGCCGCGGAGCCAGGCTTCCCCGGAGGCGCTCCGTGGACAGTCCCCACCCGGCCCCGGCCCCCGCGCCTGGAGGGAAGACGCTTAAGTTCGCGCCCCTTATCGAACGTGCTGCGGCGGGCGCTGGACGTGAGGATCCCTGGGCGCCCCTACCGGACTGACCCCAGGCCCATTTTGCAGACGGGGAAAGGAGAGTGGGTGGACTCTCCCACTGACCGCGCTGCTTGGCCGTCTCGTAATCCGCCTTGCACACGAGCCGGCTGTCTTCCATGAGGTAGAACTCGTCCCCCGTGGCCAGCTGCCGCTTGCACACGACGCAGGCGAAACAGTGCAGGTGGTACACGAAGTCCTGGGCGCGGCGCACCACCTGCGTGGGCGGGATGCCCAGCTGGCACGCGGAGCACTTGGTCCCGAATCGCCTGCGGGACGCACAGGGCGCGGCTCAGCTCGGCCTTGGCGGCTCCTTCGCCCGGAGCGGGTTGGAGAGCGAGGAGCGGGGCGCCGCGCAGGGCGGCTCAGGAGGGAAGCTCACCCCGGCCCTGCCCCTATTCGCCGGCCGGGCAGCCCCCACAGAGCCGCACAGAATACCGAGAAGGGACCCAGAAGCCCTGGGGAGGAGCCTAGCCGCCCTGACCTTGGTGCCGGGTTGGGATGCTGGATCCTTGGGGCAGGTCCCTTAGACCCCAGAGGCTTGTGCCAGGAAAGCACCCCCTCCCCAGCATTAAGGACAAAAACAAGACTGAAATTAAGAGGGAGTAAATCCAATCAAGTCCTGCAAACTTGGGGTTGTCTTTTCGAATGACTGTTTCCATGATTTGCAAAATTAATTACTTGGAGAGAATTTAGCTGCTGCGCCGGCCAGGCCTGGCTGCCCGTGGAGCTTCCCGCCAACACACAGGAGGGGCCCACCTTGCAGGAGCAGACTGTGCCCCTGGCCTCCCCTCGAGAGCCCGCGGCCACGCTCACTTGAAGAAGTCGTCCTTGCAGTAGACGCTCTCCCCGCGGCTGAAGCAGCGCTCCGCCAGGGGCGTGTGGCAGTCGGTGCACTTCAGGCACTTGCTGTGCCAGTGGCGGTCCAGCGCCTTCAGGATGAAGCGGTCCAGGATGTGCTGGTCACAGCCTGCGCACAGCGGGATCTCTGCAGGCCAAGGAGCCGCCGAGGTCAGGGGCACCGCACTGAGCGGAGCACCGGAGTGCCCTTCCCACGCCAGTCCTCGGGGCCCAGGGTTGCCACGGGAGACCCCCTTCCCTGCACACCCTCCTCCCCAGTTGGAGTGAGTGGCTGCTTGGCTTCCAGATGTAGGGAGTGCATGGTACCAAAGTCCACAGCCTGGCCCACAGTTAAAATTTGGGAAAACTGAAAAAGGTTTAGAAGTGTGCCCGTGAGCAGGAAGGGGCCCCAGCCATTCCATTCGGCCAGATACCGTCAACTGCAAAATGTTCCCAGCGAGCACGAAGGGTGCACGTTGAGCTCAGATGAAAACCCCACCCCAGGGGCTCTCTACCAGCACCCAGAGGCAAGGCGCATGTGGGTCCTGGGGTACCCACCGCCCAATCCCCATTATTATTTTGCACAATTAAGTATCCTTGCAGCTGGAGATCCCTTGTTGAAGCCTGGCTGCCCAGCCCTGCACAGGCACCAAGGTAAAAGCTGGTGTCCTCCCCATCTCTGGGAGCCCTCGAGGGTCCTTGTCCATGGTCTGGACAACTGGATCTCTGTCACCACACTCAAATGTCGGTTCCTGACGAGAGTTACTCCGACACTCGGCTCTGCTACCGTGGGACGGCAGGCCTCTGGGGGAACGAGGCTGGGGAGACTCGAGGGACAGCTTGTGGGAGCCACTGGCCCATGTGGGGATTTGCAGGGTGCTCACGGGGTGAGTCTCCCTGTTGATTTAGAAAAGGTCTTCTGGAGAGGAGAGAGCCAGCAGCAGGAGCCTGCGCAAACATTGCACCCACCTGGCCACGCTCTCCTCCCCGCCAGAGATCCCTCCGGCTCCAGGCCGGCTCCGCAGTGGGTGGGAGGACTAGAGAAGGGCTTCCCTGGGTCCCAGGCTGAAAGAACCCTGATCGATTGACCTCCCTCGCTCAGCGGCAGGAAACTCGCAAAGGACGCGGTCCCGCGTCGGACCAAACCAAGGCCCCGGTGCCCAAGGAGCGCGGGGATCCGCCGCGGGTCCCGGGCCCCCTCGCGGGAGGCGACGGCCTAAAGCTGGTGGCTGGACAGGCCCGCGCGTGCGGATTCAGCACCGTGGCCCGGACAGCGCCCGGCCGAGTTGCCCCCTGCCCGGTGTCCTGCAAAAGCCGCCCCCGCTGCGCCCCTGTTGCTCCCCGCCGCACCCTGCCACCCGGGCCTTACGCTGCATGGTGACTCCAGCCTCGGCGTGGTCTCCTACCCTCAGCACCGGCGGGGCGCAGTGGAGACTCACGCCCGCCCGCCGCTCCGGGCCAGCTCTCCTGAGCGATCGCGTTCGGAGCCCGCCTCCCCTCCCTCCCTCTCCCTCCGCCCGCCCACCCTTTCCTCCCAGCCCCTGCGGCCAACCCCTCCCAGGAACCGTCGGAAAAATAAATAAATAAGTAGGGGACGGAAGAGACCCCACAGCCTGGATGTAACCTCGTTCCCACCTGCTCGGTCCCTGCCACTCCCCACCCGACCAGGCCCGCCTCCATCTCCATCCTGTGGTCCCGCGGGCACCGAAGCCCAAGGAGAACATTGCCGATCGCTCTTCTCCAGGAACCAAAGCGCCTGGGGGGCGGGTGCAGGACTGGAGCAGCTGGGAAGCTGGGGTCTTTCCTGTAGACGGGTCCTAAGGACCAGTCTGGGAGTGGGCCAATGAGCAGGTGCGTGTGGGTGCAGACAAGGAGACCTCAACTAGGGACATCTGCGAACGGGCTCCGGCTACACTCTGGCCCCTGCATCTGACTCTCTTCCCTGGAAAGTGTGGAGGGTCTGGGTGGGGTCGGCCCTCTCGGGGATCCTCTTGCCCGGTGTTCACTGGGCGGAACGGTTGCTCTCCAATTACTCTCCTGATAAGGGAGAGGCTTTCCTAAATCGGTCCTGGGACCCCAAGGACTCCCCGACCTGAGCAGTGCGGGGCTGCAACCGCACAACCGACGCGGCTCAAGGGGCCCCGACGCTGACTCGCTGCTGGGGCGCCCAGGTGGGGACGTGCTTGGGCCCTTGCACCCACGCCCGCCCGGGTCCCCTGTCTCCCGCCACCTCCGTGGCCAAGCCCGGAAAGGAGCGAGGACCTCCGGGTCTCCCCGTGCAGCCTCTCAAGCCTGGGCACCCACCTCGGCGCAGGTCCTCCCTTCGCGCCAGAAGCGCCAGCAGCAGGTCGCCGCCCGCTGACTCGCGGCCCGGGCCCAGCTCCCCGCGCGCCTCCATGGGTCCCGTCGCCTGGTGCCGCGGCTCTCCGGCCCCGAACTTTTCCGGGGCCCGGGGAGGCCACGGCTTCCGGGGCCCCAGGCCGGTGTCGGAGCTATTCCCCGCGCTGCTGGGCGCTGCGCCCGCGGGCCGCCCTGGGGCCGGGAGCCTCAGGCCGCGCGGAGGGCGGAGCGGCCGGGGGGGGGCGGGGCCGCGGCGCGGGGCGGGGCCCGGGGGGGGTCGCTGAGACGCGCCGCGGGCGTCCGCCGGCTCTGCGCGCCTTTGCGAGGGGACTCGGGGTGCCCAGACGCCAGCCACCCGAGTGCCGGGCCGAGGAGGGCGGGGACAGTCAGGGGAGAAGTCAGGCCAGGGCTGCTCGCGGGCGCTTACCCGGGCCCCGCAGCTTCCTGCCCCGCGCCGCGGGCCGCCGGCGGAGGCCTGGGCTCGGGAGTGCACGCGTGCGGGCAGGCTGGGGGTCCCGGGAGGACTGTCCGGGAGGGAGCCGCGTCCCACCGCCTTTTGAGAGCCGGGGCTGGGAGGCTTGGTGACGGCAAGAACGCGGCCCGAGACCCAGAGAGGGTGAGTGTGGCGTCCAAAGGCTCACAGCAAAGCCACCAGGAGCCAGACGCGACCTCAGACCTCCTGGCTGTGACCAGCTTCTGGGTCCCACCGTGAGAACTGCCACCAGAATGGGCACAGAGAAGGGCGATTCTCAGCAGGTACACCCGGTGTCCTGAGCCCAGACACGCGGCCAGGACTCAGGTCAGGAAGGTCAGGAAGGACACTTCCCTCCACACACCGGCTTGCACAGAATGCAGCTCCCACACCCGATTTTCCAGTATCTTGTCCCCAATCCAAAGGGTAAGCCCATAGGAACCACCCATGCTTGCCTGTAGAGAGACGCACCTACCCCAGGGTAGCTGCTCCTGCCCAGAGGGCACTACGGGCCAGCGCCACCCCCCCCCCAATAATTAAGAAACAGCAGTGTGGGGCCATTGCAGCATGAGGCATGGTGAGGGCAGGGCCCCGGGCAGTGATGGGGGTGAGTAGGTTTCCGCCAGCCTCCAGGTCCCTCCACTTGGGAGAGTCCCATGGTGAAGGACAGTCGTCACCCTGCTCCTGTCCTGGCCTCCATTCGCCTGGTTTGTGAGCTTTACCAAGGAGGCAAGCCTGGAAGGATGTGGGCAGGAAAAGCACAGAGTCCTCCCAGATCCCAGCAGAAACAGAGTCATGGTTTTGAGCAAAGGCTCATGCCACCAGCGCTGCACCCCTTCCCTGTACAGGACACTGCTACCCAGAGGGCAGGGCAAGGGTGCACAAGCCGGGTAGCTGAGGGGTGCTGGGTGCACTGGGGTGTCAGCCGTGGAGTGTCAGCTGCCTAGAAGGACCATGTGTGGTTCGAGTAGGGAAGGGGCAGGCGGGCAGCGGGTCCAGGAAGTGGTGGCCCCACACGCTCAGCATCTGGCTGGCCTGCCAACAATGCCTCCATTATTTTCCAACGTCCGTGGCGATCGAGTGGCCCTTGGGGAGGGCGGTTCAGGCGGGAGACCCGCCCAGGGGTCCCAGTTCTGCCTTGTTGGGCAGTGTGGGAGAGCTGAGGGGCGTGGGGTCTCTGGAGGAAACTGATGCCCCCCCAACTCCGAGCTATCCCTTCCCCCCCAGCAGTGTCTGCAAGGCCCCTTCTGTTCTCGGGGCGCTCCACAACAGCCCACGGCCTCTGGAGCCATCACCGGGAACTTCAGGCCCTCTGCCCATGGGATCTGTCAGACTTGCATCCCTCGCTCCTGTTCCCATCTCTCATGGGTGCCAACCCCCCCCCCCACCCCAGTGGTTTCTCTAGACTCTCTTCCTTTCTCTGCTGTGTCCCGGGTCCCTCTCTCCCCACTGTCCCTATGCCTGACTCTGCCATCCTAGCCGTTTCTCCCCTTGGAGTTCGCCTTGCCCGGGCTGGAGGCCGATAGGTTCGCGGGGGCCCTTACCCCGGGTCCCACGGAAGCTGCAGACGGCAGCGGCCATGGGGGCCCCCGGCTGATCTCGGTCTCGACTGAGCTCGGTTTCCAGCAGCATGGCGACCGCCAGGCCGGAGATGGAGTCCGGGTGGTCCAGGCCGCCTTCCTCCTTCCTCCTCTGCGACCCCAGGAGGGCTCAGACCTCCCGCAAAGCCCGGATGCCTCGGAACCGCGACCCTGTCTGTGAGGCTTGGCGCGCTGGGAGCCTCTGGTCCCGGGCGCTGTCCGCGGTGCTGAAGGAGTCTCGCGGCCGCCCACCTCCCCAGGGCCCCTGTCCCCCACCCCTCCCCACCTCCGCCGACCACGCCCACCATCCTGTTCCCCCAGCCCGCCTCCCCACCATCCCACCTCCCTAGGTCTGCAGTCGCTGTGCCTGCCTCGCCCTGCCCCGCCCACCTCCCCCCCTCCCCAGGCTCCTTGTCCCCCACCCCCCTCCACCTCCCACCACCCCTGCCAGCCACTTTGTTCCCCCATCCCGCTTCCCCACCACACTGCCTCCATAGGTCTGCAATCCCCCTACCTGCCTCCCCCTGCCCCTGCCCACCTCCCCAGCAACCCCACCACTCTGCCTGCCTTTCCCCCAGCCCCCTCCTCCTCCCTTCCTCACCTCCCTAGATTTCCAGCTCCTCCACCAAGTCCCCCCACTCCCCCTACTCACTTCTCCTCAGGCCCTTGTCCGCAATCCCCCCACCCCCAGTCCCTCAGCCAGCCTCACCCCACCTTCCCTCCCTTTGCCGGGGCAGGCAGTTTCCACCTGCTGAGCTCCAGGCCAGCCCAAAGGCTGGGGAATTCGAAGCAAGCGGGTGCTCCACCCTGCCTTACAGGGCAGCATCCAGGACTCCGGCGGGTGGCCCCTCCAGCCCCGGCTCCCACGCATCTCTGGCTCTAGGTGTGGCTCAGCACTCAACTGTTGCCACTGCCCCTGTTGCACGCACAACCTTCCCCAGATCTCCTGCTGCAGGCCACCCCCACACCCCCAGGGCAGCTGAGGAGGAGGGGCACGGGGGCACCCCCAGCAGGAACCGCTCAGGACTCAAGGCCTGTGAAGGGTTACCAAATGGGGGACCTGCGCCAACACCAGCACCACACGGACCCAAAATGGTGGCATGGTCCGTGCCCTGCCTGGCTGGCACACCAGGGGGAGGAGGGTACCTACCAGCTTGCACATGGCCTGGCCAGGAAGGTGAATCCACAGAAACCACAGCCAGCAGGTCCCTCAGAAGCCACACACGACCCGAGTGCCCCGCCCTCCCTGCCCCCAGCAAGACAAAACAATAGGTAGAAGCAGAAGGAATCAAGAGTTCAGAATCCAATGCAGCAAACAGGTGTTGGGGGCCAAGCCCCGGCTAGGAGGCCATGCTGGGGTGTGCAGATCCAGGACGGCAGGGGGCGGCTGCGGAGAGCTCTGTCCAGCACTGGGTGGGTCGGGGGTTCCCTTCACCAGGGCAGCCCTGGTGCATCGTGAAGTCGTGTGACTCATGCATCCCTCCCCATCACATGACATTGATCTACCCTGTGACACGTGTGAAGGCTGTGGTCCTGTGGCCGGTCCCCGTCTAGATCAGCCCCAAGAAGATAATCTATAATTGATCTTCCATTTTTCACTTTCCACCTGACCCCTGGGCTGTCTTCCGAAAAGCCTCTGGTTCAATACAAGAAACCCCGGGATTTCTGATGCCCAGTCTGCAAACTCCAGAAGAGAAGGAGGGCTCCATTCTGTACCCCGGCCTCCTATCACTGTTAGAGCGAGCTCACGTTTTCAAAAAGAATTACAGGCCTTCCAAATGTCAGATTTATTTATTTTAAAAATGTGCACATTATAGTTCACTTAAATACAAAATGTTCACTTTTCTTGCAGGTAAGAAATTTCAGACGTTTCCATGTCAATTAGCTTTTTAATCAAAATCCTTCCATTAAAAATAAATACACATTTAAATTACTGAACTATTCTATTCATTAGTCTCAATACTTACAACTTTAGAAAATAGACCTTAAACCTTGCCCAAAGATAGCATCCAGTTCCTAGCAGGCCACGTGAGGCGTGTGGCCACGTTCATACCTGCACACGAGACACACGTCCCGTGGCCACCTTGGCACACCACCCGTCCCTGACTGCTCGTGGTCTAGTGGAAACCTGGTCCCTCGGGGAGTCACAAACTTGTCCCTCAAAGAGTGGCGACCTCAAAGTGCAGTATTATTAGGAACCCCGACAGGCTGTCCCGTGGGTTTTGTAGAGGTCACGGCATCCAGCGTTCTGCATCTTCATCCTGGTCCACACCATGGGCAGAAACTTACTTTAGGGGAAGAAACACAGTGGACACGAGCCAGAAGGCAGTTTCATTCATGGTGCTAAGTATTTCCCTTTGGATTCTACGGGTGAATCTGGCCAGTTTTCAGGATGAAAGGAAATAAGACAGGGTCTTCAGTAACCCAGGCGCACGACCACCAACGAAGCACACAGGCTTCTAGGGGTTAAACACGTGTCAAATGAGAAGAAACCTCTGGAGACAGAGAGGCCACAGACGCCAAGCAGCTGAGGAGAGCCGGCAGACCGCACCCCATCGCCCGTTCTCTGTGCCCCATTCCCTGTCCCTCATCCTATCCCCCCCCTTCCCCCCCACCGCCCCGTCCCCTGCCTCCCGTCCCATCTCCCCCCCCCCGCCCCCTGCAGGAGCTCAAGCTCCTGACAGCTCACCCGCTGCCCCCACAGCCACGCCCATGGTCAGCGGGAGTTTGTAAACACAGAGAACACGCTAGGCAAAGTGGAGGAGACTATTTACAACCATCCTCGTGACCGGAGCACACAGACACCTCTGAGCTTGTAGACAAACCAACGGTCATGAAGGATCTCCACGAAAATGGCAGTTTGTTCATTTTGTTTGTTTACATCTCCAGAGGTAAATTTACCTCTAGATGATTTGGGTTTTACAAATAATGTATTAAAATCATTAAATGGTAAAAAATCAATCACCAAAGCCTGGGGGACCAGGGCCCTGTGCCAGGACCCATTGTAAAACAGCTTCAGGAAAATGAAATTTGGAATCTGGCCTTAAAGGTTCTGGCGACTGCACACGTCACCCCAGGGGGGCCACCAGGCATTGCCGTGTCGCTGGGCCCTCGGGTCCTAGCGTCCGCTTCGTTCAGCAGCAGGCCCTGCAGCTGCCAGACCACGGGACACAGAGGACGAAGGGGTCCTCGAAAGGTCCCCTGCGGACTCAGCTCCCAAGCCGTGGCCACCCCACAACCCTCCCCTGTGGGGCTCTGCCCTCAGTGCCGGGCACAGGCACTTGGGGACGGCGCGTGGTCACTGAACACTCTCCTGCCACCAGATTCACAAAGGCACCGCCTCGGCCACCATCCTGTCCCCACCCCCCACAAACACGGCCCCCCACATGGCTCAACAGTGGGGCTCCTTGCAATGCAGCAAAGCCACAGACCCTTCTCTCCCCTCCCTCCTGCTGCAGACTCAGCATCTGGAGTGAAAGCGGCCTGCAGAGCACAGAGGTGACGGACGGGTCGTCCTTTGGTTCTGAGCCACTTCGGCACCACGGCGATGCTCTCTTGCTTCAGCGGAAACAACCAAGCCGCTGAAAAGCACAAACACAAATGAATCTCTGAGAACCAGACTGGCTTCGAGGCGCGGCCGGGGAGTGAGGTGGGCTGGGGGCCGCGCTCCAGCTCTGCTGGGCCAAGGCTGGCTGCGCGAAATCGCCCGGTGGCCTCCCAGTGCGTGCAAGGGCTCCGTTGTTCTCGGAATCCCGAGCCAGGCTTGCAGAACGCAACATGCATCTAGAAACTCAGGACGAAGGCAGGCGGGAAAAGTTCTGTTCATTTGGCTGGGACTCCCACTCATTTTTTTAGACCTAGAAGAGTAAAAATACAGACATCTTTTTGCCATTGGATCTATAAAGGCGTCCAGGGCGTACGCCAGGAGAGCGGATGGTCCCACGACGAAGGCTGGCTTGCCCTCCACAGGAAGACCGCTTGTCCGACGAGGACTTGGAGCCCAGACGCCAGTGGGTGTGAAACCGGGTCTGACGTGTTTATAAAATCCCTGATCTTTTATTAAAGCTGCAGGTGGTACGGTGGGGCTGTTTTCCCAAAGGCGCTTCTGTGATCCCACCTGGGTCTACACGGACGGCCGGTGATGTCGGACTTTCCATCGCTTGGACCGCACTCGGAAGAAAAAGTACATCACCATGAGAAACAAGGAAGAGGCCACGTACAGCAAGACGCAGAGGCTCATGTCCAGGCTGGAGAAGCCCATCCCCAGAAAGGGCACGGCCGCCTCCACCTCCCTGCGGCCCTCAGCCCCGCCAGCGCTCTGCAGTCTCCCATCCAGGCCGAGCTGCGGCCCGTCTGGCAGGCGGGGTCTGGGAGGCAGCACGCTGGGCGGGCGGAGACTCTTGGCATGCTGTTCTCCCTGAGGCTTCTCTGGGGAGGCGAGGCCTCGCTCCCGCTCCCCGCCCTGGGGTGGGCCGCCTCCTTCGCTGGCGTCTCCCGGGTCCGCCGCATACGCATCCACGAGATTGTCGCCGCTGTAGTGCCGCTTTAAGAACAGGAGCACGTGACCCTCGTTCCAGCTGTGCAGGCCCTTGATCTCCTCGTGGCAGGCCGGGCAGAGGTCCGGGGTGGGCCACGGAACCTTCGGAAACTTGGGGTCCTCGCTCAGATGGCCTGGGACGGGGAGGGAGAGTAACAGTGGAGGGGTCTCTGGTGATCTGACCGCCCCATGCCCCCCGGACACCTCCCCCGTCCCCTCACCTGCACCGTGACCTCCCAGTGCTCCCGGGCTCATGCCAGTCCCTCCTGCACAGATGCCCGTCCCCCCAGCCCCCCACATAAATGTTTCTTCCCTGGCATCTCTGGCAGGGCCCCGTGGCCACGGCAAGGGAAAGGTCCACACCTGGATGGTGCCATCCACCTGGCCAGACCCCGCTCCCACCCGCAGCTACTCTGCCTCCCTGTGACCCCGAGGCCCCCTGCTTGACGTGCCCCCGCCCTTGCTTGTCCTCTCCCCACTTAAGGTGCATCTGAGGTCCACAGCCACACAAACCCCATGAGGCTGGCTGTCCAGACGATTCCACAGCACTTCGGGCTTGTGTGGGCCCCTCCCAGACCCCCAAATCCCATCCAGAACTCTAGAAACGGTCCTGGGAGTGAGACCTGCCATGGGAACCCATGCAAAGCCAGCCCCTGTCCTGCTCCCAGAGGCAGCAGGGAGGCGGCACAGTCCCGCACACGCGAACCACACCGCACGGCGTCGACTGGGCCAGCAAGACCACCCCTCGCAACAACCCCGATCCCCCCGGCACTCCGAGAGCTGCCCGGCGGGTCAGCGTTGGACGTGCCATCAGCTCCGCACACGCAGGCTCGGATTCAGAGCACCCACACACTGAAGGTTACACTCCTTCCTGCTCAACGTCCAGTCACAAAGGCTGTTCCGTCATGGCCCCCACCGGCCAGCCATGGAGGTCACGGCTGATACTTCTCCTGTCCCCCTGCGTCAGTGTGTTCGCTCCTCTGGATGATGGAGCCAATGGAGCACCAGCCTGGGGAGCCCCCGGCCGCCCGCTCCGGGCACGTGCCCGCGCAGCCTGCCCTGCTCACTTCCCACTTCTCTCACACCCGTGTGAGCGACACCCGCCCGGCCCCGCAGCTCCAGCTCTCTGCCACTAGACACACAGGGGTTCTGGGCACAGGAAGTGTGCCACACCGCGCTCCCAGAGTCCCCCGACACGACTTGGGGTGCCCTGCCACCCTGAAAGTGCTTCTACGAGTAGACGTGGACAAAACCACGTGTCTGATGGGTGTGAACCAGTGGGGACGCTGTCCTCTGGCCCATGGGCACACAGCTGGGAGGGCGGGGCGGCACCCGATGCCCAGGCACCACCCACCAGGGTCTGTGCCTGGCAAAATGTGGATGTGCCCACGCGGTGACTGAGAAGCAGCTGCCGGGGCCTGGTGCCACACACCACAGACACAGCAAGGCCCAGGGCAGGTCTCTGCGGCCTCCATCCAGAGGCCGGGGGTGGGCCTGGGGGGCAGAGAATCGAAGGAGGGACACAATGACTCGGGCCGCTGAAAGCCCCTTTCTGTTGCAGCACAAGGCTGAGGGGGGCACGCGGGGCTCCTGAGCCGGGACCGCCTGGGGGAGTCTTGCCCAGCCGTGCCAGAGCCGGGAGCTGCCGGGATAACCCCATGGGTGCGGGGTGCGGTGGGGGCAGGGGGGTGCACACCCGGAGGTGGAGGGTCTCGGAACTAGGGACGCGGTGGAAGCGGACAGCCACGGACGAACCCCCGGCAAGCAGAGGTGCCGTGGCCACACGAGCTGAGCCGCAGCAGCTCTGGGGGCAAAAAAAAAACCCCAATTTTCTTTAGTGCATCAGTTGTACTATGTTTCCTAATACAGTGGATTAAATAAAAACCAATAGTTTAGTGGTTTTTTTGACTCATCTCTATTAAGATTTATCCATCAGCAGAATTATTTTTAAGCCTAATTTCAATCTGCCAGTGATTTAGGACCAGTTTGAATTAACTCTGAGGCGACAGACGTGCCCTATCTGGTTTTTAAACAAGACGACTTTGTGGGATTTGGTTTACTGAGAGCAGACCGCAGCGCCACCAACTCCCTCCTGGAGGCTGATTCTACCCCAGTCTCTCCTGTCAAATGTCCGCGGGGGCCTGGCGGGGCTGCGTTGTTGGCAACCCTCTGGGCAGCCACCCACAGGCCCACTCTGCCAGCACCCATCTACACATCCTCACCCCCACGGCGCTGGCCCCCTGGACCCAGGCTTGGCTGCCCCGGGGCGCTGCTGCTTACCAGCCAGGCGGTTGTTGACTAAGTTGTGTTTTTTCCAAAGCCAGAGAATCGCTTGGTCTGCAGTTTTCACGGAATCCATGGATTCTTTAGCCATTTCCTCAAAATGCTCACTGCACTCCTTACAGCCGAAGAAGGTGTGAATGTACCTCCTGATGGTCTGTAGCACTGCCTGGGGGTCATCCTCCAAACCTGCAGAGGGACGGGGGCAGACAGCATCAGCACTGTGGGAGCGTGTCCGAGGGCCCCGGGGCTGGTGCTGGTGTCGGGAGCCAGGAACGGGCCAGGTGCCTGAGCTGGCACACGTGGGACAGCCCTGCTTGTCTGCACGGGAAGGACACAGGGAGAAAGCAGCACCTCCCAGACGCCCACTGCATCCAGAAGGGGTGGCACTGTGTCCCCAGAGAGCACACCCATTGCCCACATCTGGGCGCAGCACTCCAGGGTGGGCACAAATACCTGGGAAAACCAGCCAGAGGCAGCGAGACACCAGGGCTCCTTCCAGGAACGAGAGGGCAGCAGGCCGGCGAGGACCTACCTCCTCTAGAGAGGTTAACCCTCTCCATGAGCGGCAACTCTGGCATCGCCCAGCCATGCGGACCGTGTGCCCCATGTATGTGGGCACAGGTCACCAGGACATGCGGTCTGCGTAAAGACACTGAATGCGGAGAACACGATCGTTCGAGGAAACAGCCCCCAACAGGAGAAGGAAGCAGCCACCATGTCACTAAAATGAAGACCCCTGAGAACAGCAAAAGGGGGGGCGGGCATGGGGCTGGCGCCGGCAGCTCCCTTCAGACAGCTAATGCGGGGGATTGAGTCAACAAGCGAGAGACCGTGAGATTAAAGCAGATTAAATGTCAGCATTAAAAGAAACACAGCAAAATAATTGGAAAAAAAAGACGTGCTTTTGAGACTGAATCCGTCTTATCAAGAGCAGGCCCTCGCGGGCGATCTCCTTCTTCGCCGCTGTGGTTCTGCTTGTGGAGGGCCAGGGCCCCGCACCGGTAACTGACCTTGGCGGGCCTCACCGGGGCCGGCAGAAGCCCCAGCTGAGCGGACGGCCACCGTTGCCTCAGCTCGGCGCATCTCTGAGGGCGGTGGGCAGCGCGGGTCTGCGCACACAGTGAGGACATGCAGCCGGCCGGCCCTCCCGAGGCTCCCTGCCCTCCCCTCCCTGCCACCAGCTGCCGTGCGTCCTCGGGTAATCCTCCTTGTCTCTCCCCACCAAACCGCTGCAGCCCGGCCACCCTAATCTTTAGAGTGGACAAGAACCATAAACCCCTACCTGTGGGGGATTAGAGAACGCGACGGCTTTTTAGTCGATGGGGTTTAAACACGCACTAAGGAGAGGAAAAACCTTCCAAGACCTAATCCAGCGGTGTCCATGTGACCCAGTTCTCTGGGCATGAGACACAGTCCTCGGATATGGCTCCAGCCTGCGCCCCGGACATCTTCCTGACGGCGTGCCCTGTGAGCCCCTGCAGGGCCCCCTGACCGGCCCCTCAGCGGAGCGCACCCCCCACCTCCCCCCGCAAGGTCCCCGAGACATGGACATCCACGTCACCCTGAGGAGAGCGGGGGTGGGGAAGATTTCCACAGATGGCACGTGCCCCCTGCAGCGTGACTTTGCTGATTCTCCCAGCGCCAGGCCGATACTTTGTCCCCACCATGGATCCAGGTTGGGCCAGGCCCATTTGACCAACAGGCCGAGACACAAGATTCCGTGTGCCGGCTGGCTCCGCCTCAAGGTCCTTCCTGAGCAAGCGTGGGGCCGTGGGGAGCTGGGCTCACCCTGCAGGCTTCCCGCCTCCTGGGTCTCCCACCGCCCAGTGGGGTCGCCCGCACTGAATCCTGTGCGTATAAAACTGGGTCTTTCAAGCCCCAGCGTTTGGTTCGGTTTATGTAGCAGAGGTACCACAGATTTCAGTCTTACTGGAAAGGATTTTGGGACTGTGGGAGTCCCTGCCTTTACTCAGTAGAATAATCCCTGCAGCTGCCCACTTGAAGTGGCAACTAAAAGGCAGGCGGTCAGGGCGCCTGGGTGGCTCAGTCAGTTAAGCGTCTGCCTCCGGCTCAGGTCATGATCCCAGGGTCCTGGGACCGAGTCCCACATCGGGCTCCTGCTCAGTGGGAAACCTGCTTCTCCCTCCGACTCTGCCCCTCCCCCTGCTTATGCGCTCTCCCTATCAAATAAAAAAATAAAATCTTTAAAAACAAAAAATAAATTAAAAAATAAATAAAAGGTAGGCGATCCACCCCTGGCGGCCAGAGGCCAGCTTCACAGGGGAAGTGCACATACAACAGAGTCGGAAATGTATAAACACCCAGAATGGTTTTCACAGCCTGTGTAGGACACAAAACATGACAATTCTGCTTTAGTGATTTCCTGATAATTAAAACTATTAAAGCCAACCTAATCTTTTGTAGCTTTTAACCTCTTGTGCGGGTGGACTCTGTGAAGGCCCAGGCCGCAGCTCCAGCTAGCTCGGCTGGCTCGGCTGGCTCGGCCCTGCCCCCAGCAGGCCGGGCTGGCCACGCCTGGCTGACCGGGGCCACGTCGGAAGTGAGCAGCACCACACTGAGGACATGCCCACGGTGAGGAACTGAGCGCGCCACTGGCCAACAGCCGGCAAGGCCACGAACCCCGCCACCACCCCACGAGTGGTCAGGGGAGGGGGCTCTTCCCAGTGCAGACTTCTGATGAGACCCCAGCCTTGGCCGACACTGAGCCCGCAGGCTCGTGAGAGACCAGCAGCCAGGGACCCCGGTCCAGCCCCATCTGAGGCCCTGGCCCACAGATACTTTGAGAGAAAGCTAAGCTGTAGGGTTATTCGTTTTGCAACAACAGGTAACGGACATCTCCGAATACGCTTCACTTGTGCTCATGCTTTTGAAAGAAAGAAGAACTCCTTGAGAGTGTGCCCTCGTTCTGTGACTCAGTCCCTGCAGGTCAGCCGCGCACAGGCTGGTGAGCTCCAAAGCTCCCAGCACCATGTAAGAAAGATGCTTCCCTCCACGCTCCTTAGCCAGGGCCCCCCAGGGCAGCCCTGGTGACATGTCCCCTTCCACACAGCTGCTCACGACACCTGGCAGGCCCCAGCACGGTGAACGTGGCAGGTGGGCTTGGCATGCCCTGGGCCCACACGGGGACAGTTTACCTGTGCCGTCCAGCGCCTCTGGATGGGTCCCAGCTTCAACGGTCAAAGTGTGGAACAACTTCCAGAGAGAACATGTGTAACCCCTGAACTCTGGTCGGCTTCCTTGACATCCAACCCACTTTACATGATTAATAAGGAATATTCCAGAAATCTGGGGGTGGGGTGAGGGAGAGAATAAAAGATAATTGAATTGTTAAAATAGCTGATGAACGTCCTCTATCTTTATTGGTTGCTGGTCACACAGAGTGTACATTTATCAAAACTTTGTCACTGCACATCTTACTACGTGTGTATGTAAATTCAATACCAAACAAATGAGAGAACAGAGTCTCTGTTTTACTAAAGGAGTTCTCAAAATAGGGGGACGTGGCCCGCGCCTTTCCTCTCCCCCTGCCCAGGGAGGGAAGGGTTTGTGTGTATCTGGATAAACGGAGCTTTATTAAAGCATCAAGGATACCCCAGCCTCGTGCATTAGGGTCACTTAAACCAACCCCACTGGGGAAGAGCGAGAGTGAAAAAGCTCAACGGTCCAGCGATTCTCAGCCACAGCAGGTGCGGACCATGACTGCATCGGTGGTGAGCTGAGGCCCTAACAGCTCAGGAGCCACATGCCTGTAGCCAAGCAGGTGCTTCCAACCAAGCCTATGTCCATGCTCTGCGTCTCCCGGCAGGCTGGCCAGCACAGGGCTTGTCCACAGGGCCTAAAGTGCGTGGCTCCCATACGGATGTGCATGCAGACAAACCCTGTACCCGAGGAGCCTGCGCTGGCCTCCAGCTTGGGGGGAGGTCAGGGTGAGGTCAAGGTAAGCGCCCAGCACGTGTCTCTGTACTGCTGGCACAACGCACCTGTTGGAGCGCCCGATGTGTGCCTGATTTGTGTGCGCGCGCGCAGGCTTGCACACTGCCCACAAAAGCGTCCTGACTGGAGGACGCCAAGAGCTCGGGCAGGAGGAAGGAGACCTGGCCTGGGGGGCCTCCAGCAGGGCCTCCATGCTTCTCATCGAGCACACAGTTTTATTAGCCTTTTTGGTGTAAGATTTGTGAGTTTACTACAAATTTAAGTAACACAAAAGCCCGAGCGCCACCCCGCCCGCCCCGTGTCACAGCACGCCTCCCATGGCCTCGGCAGACGAGGCCTGCGCAGGGAGCGTCAGAGCAACAAGGACGGTGGGAACCACGGGGCGCAGGCGGAGGGACACGGGCAGCTCCGCGCACGAGGCGCCGTGACGGCAGGCCGGGGCAGGTCCCCGAGCCGGAGGGAAAGCAGGAGGGCTACCGAGGACACGGACAGCGGCGCACGGGGGGGCGGGGGGCAGGCTCACCCGCATCTTGTTGTTGACCAGGTCGAGGACGGCGTTGTAGGGTATCCTGTCCAGGGGAAGGTTGGCCAGCCACTCCTGCAGCGTCTCCAGCAGCTTCTTGACCGGCGCCCGGCCGGGGAACAGCTAAGCAAGGAAGGACCCATGCTTGGAGACCATTCGGGGAAATGCCACCCACGGCAGAGCCGTCCCTGGGGACCTAGGCGAGGTGGGGTCTGTCTGACACGGACCTACCGGGTCGGGGTGGGAGAGGTCCCAGGGGTCTCCCCTGGTACTGGGGTGAGGGGTCTGTCCAGAGCAGAGTAGGGGGACAGGAGGAGCTGCAGCAAGCCCCCGGATCGCACGGCCTCCTGCCCCTCAGCCACCGGCTCGGCGCTCAGCCAGCGACGGCTTCCCAGTGACAGACGGCACGGCCACGATGTGCCTTATTCATCACATTGTCAAGGGCTCTGCAGTCCTTTCTGAAAGCACCGCCTACTTAGCTATTCGGCGCCTCGAGGTAATGCACGCAGATCCCGCCTAATGCACTCAGCGTGCCCCCCCCCCCCCCCCCCCCCGCTCTGCTGTCTGACTGCACAACTCTGGAGAGAAGGCGCATCCCACTGAGGCTTTTATGCAGAAGTGTGTAATCTGCTGGTTAGCTAAATGTCTGTGCCGGCCACGCAGCTGCGGCCCCTCGCAGCCCGGAGAGGCACCGCTCGGCAATGCGGGGGGCGTGGCCCTTCTCCACGGGACTTGTCCTTGATGCCGCCCAGAGCTCAGAAACCGGAGAAGCCTGCTGTGGCAGGGACAGCACAGCTCAATGCCGTAGGACCCCGTGTCCCGACGTGCCAGCATCCAACTTCCAGTTTTGGCCAAGCTATAGAAAAACTGCTAAGAATAATTTACGGTCACCTTGATCTACAGAGCTCTCCGCCTAGCTCAGGTAGAGGACGAGGAAGAGCTGAGCGAGGAGAGCACGTCTCCGATTCACTGAAGGCAGAGGAGGGAGGACTGCGGGGCTCTGAGCTGGGACCCGCACAACGGGCACACACCGGTCTACACAACCCCCTTTCTTCATTGGAAACGTATCACGTGACTCATTACTCTGAGTACGGCCTCCTTCCTTCCATTTCAAAAGTCACAGGACACAAGTGTACAACGTACTATTGAAGTGTTGAACAGGAATCACCGTATCAAGCCCCTTACCTGACGCAAGAGAAGTTATTTATTTTTAAGATTTTAAGTCATCTCTATGCCCAATGCGGGGCTCGAACCCACAACCTCAAGATCAAGAGCCCCAGGCTCCACTGACAGAGCCAGCCAGGCGCCCCAAGAGAAGTTCTTTAGAACAAAGCTTATCTTAGAGACAACAAGCACGGATGTGGTGCCAGATGCAGGGGCAAAGGGCTCTGTCCTCAGGCCACTGTGACCGAGGTCTTCCCCGAGATGAGAGTGCAGAGGGGCCCCAGGCACCCCCTAGGGAAGACGGATGACCTCCTGCTTCTGCTGCTCCAGCCCAAGGAAATAGTGAGCCTTGGATTCTTGGCCCCAGAGCTAAGAGTTCCTGGCAGAAAGGTAACCCGACAGCCCATCTCCTGACCGACGCTGACCCGTGAGCCACCACCGCTCCGCCCACCAGTGAAGGTGGGGGTGCCGCTGCCCCGGGTCCCGGCCGACCGGGCACACTGCACAGGGCTGGCTGCTGGGCGGCCTCCTCCCCCTCCGGCCCTCCAGAAGTGGCCCCTTTCGGACGTGTCACGGTCCCAGCCCTGCCTCGACACCTTGTCCGGTCACCCGGCAAGCAGCGACTTGTGCTCTGCCATCCCCGGGGCTCAGAATTGGGTGGGCGCCTGGTAGGCACGTGGTGAGTGGGGACAAAGGCCAGCGCAGGCCTGTGCCGCTGGAGACAGAGTGGTCACCCAACTGAGGTCGGCTCCGTCCCCCGCAGATCCCCCAAGGCGGCCTCCTGGGCCCCCCGCCGCGCACCTTGGCGAGGACAGTGACGAAGTCCTTGAGTGTGCGCAGCTCGGCCCCCGCCAGGGACTTGTGGGCGGCCAGCTCCACCCTCAGGAGGTAATGCAGCCCCGACTCCAGGTCCGCAGTGTAGAGTTTCGACCTGAGAGCAAAGACCGTGAGGTCCGGTGAGAACACCTTCGTTGTGAACATTCCCTTTCCTCGCACCCACCCCGAGGGAACACCACTCCCCACGGGACGACACCGACAATTCCCCAACAGCCAACAGGTGTGTGTCTGGGTGAATCCCACGGCCACGGGGCCGCGCACACGCCCGCGCATGCAGCCACACCCCGGCCACCGCAGGGCCAAAAGGAATACCTGCCTGTCAAATTCTCTCCAAACCACGATTTCAGGGTTTTCTTCTTTGTTGGGCTTTTCAGGCAATGAAAGCAATTTTTTCCTCACATCCGGCAACGACTTCAAATAAGAGGAAAAAAACGATCGGAGGGGCTTCCCGCTGCGAGAAAGGGGGCCAGGTGTGGACGCAGGCCAGGGTGCCTCCGGGGGCCTGGCCCCCACTCCGCGGGTGTCCGAGCGCATGCCAGGCACCCAGGCAGCTGTGGCCCCTGAGCGACAACATTGAGGGGGCTTGTCCGGGCCCCCCAGCCCACCCACTCTTTGGGCATTTGCTGCAGGTGCTGCGGGTGGAGGGGCGGGACCCTGGCAGTGCGGGGGTTGGGCAAAGTAAGACGGAGCCACAAAGACCCGAGTTATAGCTGCAGTAGGGACTAGGAACAGGTGTCCTCCAACTAAGGTTTTCAGCCAGCCCAGCAGCCTCTGCCGGCTCGAGCGGGGCGTTGGCAGTCAGGGCTGCGGGGGCGGCAGGGGCATCGGGGGCTGTGGGGCCCTGGACTGGCTGGGGAGGAGCACGCACCCTGAGGTGTGTAAAGACCATTACTGGGCACCTCCAAAGGAGTTCAGGGGTCATCAACAACATCCAGGGCTCATTCTAATTCCCAAATATCCATGTCATTTGATGTGAAGAAGTGCTACAGATGACGCTTTTAATATAAAACAAGAATTTTTCTTCAGAACAAGTGGCATTTTGTTCAGGGACACTCCGTCGAGGGTAACACCTGCTGTGACGTGACACTGGCCGGAGCCCCAGGGGTGCAGGCCCTAATGAGCTCGCTCACAGAGCATGAGTGACCCAATCCACAGAGGTTGTCATGCCTACCCTGACTTCTGCTTAAGAAGAGAAACATACCCAAGGGACTGGGGGGTGTGTCTGAGGTTCTGGGGAGGCCACTTCCCAGCTGAGCCAGGAGCCTGGGGATGGACGAGGCGCATCCTGGCTGGGCTGTGTCCCAGCACATGGAGACTCGCCAAGAGCGGCCAAGTCATCACCGGCTACACGGGCACCTACAGGCGGGCGGGCTGGGTGGGCGTCCCCCCGGGGCAGGCAGGCCTTCTGCTCCCACCGGAGGCTGGGGCCACGGCAGACCCCACGGGCCTCAGGACCCCGTCTCACCTTCTCACCTGTGGCCCTTCCCAACCATGCTTCAGGCTGTTCACCTTTTAGTGGCATTCAGTGGATGTAGACGGCATCCAGGTGGGTTCTGCGGGCTTAACCGTGAAGAGGTGCATGGCATCTAGCCAGCGAAGGCTCCCACACTTGGAGGGATTCCTCAGATCCCACCAGGTGTTGCAAACACTCCTGAAGCCAAATCACACTTACATGTTAATTAATCCACGTGTCCCATTTGGGTAAATCAAGTAACAGGAAGGAATGGAAGAAACACCGAGTTTCTCCAGGAAGCCTTTATCTGTGTTCAGCACTCTCTTCACCACAATGTTCTCATACGGAAGCAGGTCTAAGATCACCTGGGGAAGGAGAAAGCAATGTCACCTTCGCTGTGTGTGGCCGTGTCTCAGGAAGTGTTACCTTGACCAAGCACAAAGCAGCATGAGCACAGAAATCAGAAAAACAATGTCATCTGGAAAAAGCCGTATTTATCTCCTCTCTAAGCCAGACTGACATTCACATCTTCATTTTTATTGCACTCTTGGGCAACTGAAGGAGATGCCTGGTGCAGGCTGTCACGACAACCTCGCTTAGCAAGCTTACAGAGGATCATCTGTCAGTGAACCGTTCCGTGCCTTCTGAGCCCGCATGCCCCCCACGCACCACCTAGCCCTGAGCTGTCCCTCACACACAAGGCTGTGCACCAGGCGGTGTCTGCCCTGCACATGGGAGGCTAACGGCACCCCTGCACGGTACCGCGGCCCCGGTCAGCAGCTGATGAACCAGCAGGCTCCGGGCTGCCCCTGTCCAGCTCTGCTTAGGCTGAAGGCACAGGATGGGGACGTGGAAGGACCACAGGAGTGGCATCTCAGGAGCTAGAACAGCGTGAGAGACGACCCTCGAGCCCGGCATGGGCCACCAAGACAATCAGGTGGGGAACCCGCACCTCTGACTCTTTCAGCAACAGAATTGGCATGTCCTGAACAGAGACGTTGCTGAAAGTGCACACCACACGCTCCACACTTGAGCCGCGGCAGGGCGCCCTCCTGGGAAAGGTCGCAGCCACCTGCCCGGAGAAGCAGTCCCTGCTCAGGTCTGTGAGCGGAAAGGGGGGGCATCACAAGCACCCAGGTGAGAGAGGCAGCCTTGGGACAGCGTGGGGGGTGTCACATGGGAATGCTGGGTCCTACTGCTGTGGGCTCCTCCTACCACCCCACCCCGAGAATCCCGGTCAGCCACACAAGGTGGCACGATGCTGCCACCCAACTCGGAGGGCACGGGAGGCGCAGGGAGGTGGTCGGGTCGCTAACATCTGCAGCCTGTGCCTGAGCGCATACCAACAGGAGCTCCCGCCAGGAACACATGGCCTCCGGCCTCCACCCCCAGAGCTCCCGGAGGAGGGCAACACGGCTGGGAGGCAGGCAGTGAGGTGGAGGAGGGCGCTGGGCATGCGCACGAGTGCCAGCCCCGCCAGTCAGGTGCCTCCTGCCACCTCTGAGGGGAGGTCCCGTCATCCAGGCCGGAGTCTGGTGCCGGAGGCAGAGGTTTCAGACCCCAAGTGTGAAACAAGAGCAGAACAAAGTTCCACCGCAGAAATGATGTTTTACAGAATCTTGGACACGGCAAAAAAGTTGAATGTTCCCAACACAGCCAAGAAAAAATCTCGATGGCGATGCCGACGTGTAAGAAATAGAGCCTCGGGAAAAAAAAAAAAAAAAAGAAATAGAGCCTCGAATTTCAGTGGAGGAACTTGGGGAAGGAGACACAAACATTCAGTCTATAGCACCAGGTATCTTTGTCTGGTTTCCCAGAAGCAGATCGTGAGGTGAGGATTTGGGTGTAAGTGACTTATGAAGAAAATTCTCCTGTCCACGGGAGCAAGACAGCAGAGGAGTAGGAGACCTGGATTTCGTCTGGTCTCAGGAATTCAGCTGCATAGGGATCAAACCATTCTGAACACCTACGAACTCAACAGGAGATCGAAGAGAAGAATAACAGCAATTCTCTGAACAGAAAAGCGACCACTTTCTGGAAGGTAGGACGTGCGGAGAAGTGAATCCGAGGCGATATTCCGAGGACAGACGGCGGGAGAGGGGGCCTCCGTCGGCCGCTTCTGGCAAGTGCTAGAGCCGCGGAGCACAAAATCGGAACTTTTGTAAGTCGGCTCCGCTGAGGGACGTCGCTCCAGTGGCTAAGCGGGGGGTGGAACCCTCACGGGACAGTGTGGTCTCAGGA